CTAAACCATTTCCCGTAAGTATTATACAAATCAATTAATTTATATAAAATGTACATACCGTATATTAAATAAAATATAAAAACATTATTGAAATTTTTATTACTAGGATATAATTGATGCGACAAAACCCAAAAATGTGTGCATGCAACCAACACATCCGATGCCATATATTCCGGGCACAGGTATGAGTGAGGACTGTCTGGTGCTTAACATATGGACAACAAATACCACAGCATTAAAGCCAGTGATGTTTTGGATACATGGAGGAGGACTTGCAGTAGGATCAATATTTCAAACGTGGTTTAATGGCAGTGTTTTGGCCACACATGATGTGGTGGTTGTGTCCGTCAACTATAGGTTAGGACCGTTTGGGTTCCTATACGGGGATCGGGAGGACGCGCCCGGAAATGTCGGCTTTTATGACCAGTTATTAGGCTTGAAATGGGTAACAATTAAACATTTAATCTATTAACTTTATATAATAATGTATGTATTATTAAAATAATAAAAGGTAAGAGAAAACATCCACACATTTGGCGGAGATAGGGATCAGATCACCATTTTTGGTGAGAGCGCTGGGAGTTGGTCGGTGTCCGCACACATACTCTCCCCGCTATCAAAGGGTATGTTTAAGAGGGCTATTATGGAGAGCGGCGCCAATATGTATAACAAGGACAGAGAAGTGGTCAACAAAACCGAAGCCATGGCTTTGGGTAAAAATATAGCGAAACAATTGAAATGCAATGAAACCGAGGATTGGATACAATGTCTGCGAAGACCGGACGCCAGGGATATACTCAAATATGAGAACCCAATCGGCACTTACCCGGTGTTTGGCACAGAGTTTTTGCCCATTTTTGCCCGACAAGCTTTCAATGAAAAGAAGTTTAATACAGGTAATATTGATTTTAGCAGTAACCAGAATTAACTATCAATAGAGTTATCAATAAATCAATAAAAATATTATGTATTTTAATTAAGTAATTTTTATTATTTTATTATTATTTAATTAAAACTAAGTTCGTATTAATATAATACAAAGTAAATTTTTATTTTTAATATTAATTAGATATTGATTTAATCGCTGGCATCAACCAAAACGAGGGCTCAGCATATGTTTATTATCTCGTTAAAGACCCTAATCTTATGACACTCGCCGACTTTCATAAGGCGCTAAACGCACTTGATCAATTTTGTTATCACAACGTCAACGTACAAAAAGTGACGGAAAGTTACCTGAAAGGTGTCAACACTAGCGATAGTCAGTCACTTCGCACGGCTTTAGGCGCAGTAATTGGCGATATAATGCTCGGGTGTCCGACATATATGTTCGCCAAACGGTTCGCACAAACTGTCAAAGAGTCGCAAAGGGTTTACTTTTACGAGTTGTTGTACGCGAGTAATTATTTTGCTAAGCAAATGAATTGCGATGTAAAGACCATGGGCATTTGTCACGGCATGGATTTGCCATTTGTTTTTGGTCTACCATTAATTAATCCCAACGATTACACCACAGAAGATAAATATTATAGTAATGTAGTGATGAAAATGTGGGTAAAATTCGCGACCAATGGGTAAATGACATTGTTTAATTATTAGTAAAATATACAGTAGTACAAAATAACAAAATTTCATAGACTAAATACAGTATCTTTAATTATACCACATATAATTTTGCAGTCATATGGACACTGATTGGCCGCAACTGTTAAACGATGAGCCGATGGGTGCGCCCAAAGTCCACGGTTTAGATCCCAAAGACTTGAGCCTAGTATTAAAAGACCCGTTTCATGAAACTTGTGATGGCGTGTGGGCCGACTACTTCCTATAATAAATATAATCTTTTTATGATTTATACAGATTTAAAGATTACAATATTAAAAATTAAGATAAATTAATTGTAGCACATTTTTATGCATTTTTTGAGGATAAAATTTTAAATAATAATTATAAGACTTAGATATAAACAAATCATCAATATATTAAATTTTATAATAATGCATTAAATATTATTTATTTTATGATGTAATGCACTAATAATAAATAATTTACTTTGCTGTTAAACTACTTGACTAAATTAAAATTACACCGAAACACCTTACTAAGTTTACGTAGGCTTACATAAATGTACATATTAAATAATACTAACTCGTAAATAAAACTAAACTAAACAAAAACTTTGAATTAAATTCACTTGAAATCTACTATTTTTAATAATAACTTTTAACAAATAAAACATAGCATAAACTAAACCCCGCAAAGAAAACTGTGCCTAAACCGCGGGAAAGGTAAACTTGCTGAGTATATCGGCCAATGGCTCGACCGCAGTGCGCAACTCACCCACAAGTGTCCGCATTATTTGAATGAGTCCGGAGTCCAGGAGTTTTTTGGCGGCACACTTACTCAACATACGCTCGCAAACTGAAGCCAACGCAATGGTATCGGTGCGCAGCATACGGTGCATGTGGTCGGCCGGTATGACTACACCCCACCCGCGGTACACATCCCGCGACACTGCGATACCAAAGTCGGTCCATTTGGCCACAAACTCACCGGCGCTGCTAAACACCAATATGTTGTCCGCAGTGATGTCCCGGTGGGCGACACCCATGTGGTCAGACGAAATTGTGCGTAAATTTAGAAATGTACGAAATTTTGGGGGCGTTTTTGCGAGAGATCAATTACCTAAGTTTGT